GCTCAGACCGCGACCTTTAAGCTGTGTGAGAGTAATTAAGGTGCCTTGACACCTTAATTACGTTGTAATTTTTGTTTATTTTTTACCTACGTGACTTTACCGAATAGAACCAAAGAGTATGGATCCTTGCAGTCACGAAAGCTTCAAATCTATATTTAATTAAGTAGAACGTATTCTTAGCTATTTCGGTAAAGTCACGTTGAAGGGAAACAATAAAATAATAATATATATAAAACAATAAAAATCCTTCACGATGTTTCGACCATAACACAAACGGTCGTCATCAGGTGTGTCGGTTTGCATACATTTATTTATTTATTTGGATGTCCTAATTAAAAGAGACCTGATGGTTCAATGAGCCACTCTGTCTACAGGAAAGCTACCCATACGGATGCTTATCTGAAACCGGATTCCCACCAACATCCATCACAGAAGAATTTTCTCATCAAGACTCTGTATCATAGAGCCCAATGCATATCCGACCAGGAACACATAGGCAGTGAACTCAAGCAAGTACACCAAGCTCTTAAGGCTAATGGATACTCCGACTATACAATCCGCAAAGCTATCACTCAAACCATGAAGAAGGACCCTATTGAGGAGCCTTTCAAAACCATCACTTTACCATACATTGCGGGGATCACAAAAAAGACCTCCAAAATCTTAAATGAACACAAGATCCAGGTCCGTTTCAACACATTACATAAAATCCGTGATCTGGTTCCATCCGTAAAAGATGTGATTCCGGACATACAGTACCCTGGTGTCTACAAACTAAGTTGCCTCTGTGGTAGTAGTTACATTGGAGAAACCAAACGCCATGTCTCGGACCGCATTCGTGAACACAAAGCAGACCTTAAACACGGTAGGACTAACACCTCGGCCGTGGCAGATCATTGTTATAATTCAGTAGGCTCACATGACATTAACTGTTCCAAGACAGAGGTTCTTTGCAAGCCATCTGGCTACCATGAGAGATTCGTTCATGAGGCTATCCACATATACAAGCACAGAGACAATTTCAACCGAGAAGATGGATTCTGGCTTATCAATCATTGGAAAGATTTGATAAACCATTTCAGGTCTTAATTGATTGTTCACGCTTACAGTGGCTTTCAGACAGCATACATTCATTTTTCGTCTCCCCCCTCCTCTTTTCAGAACATAGATGGACTAGTCCTTCTAAATAAACTGCCAAATCACTGTGCGTGACGCCGACGGTTTTTTATAAATAAATAAATAAACACACCGTTTAAAAACAAATACATTTTCGCAAACCGACACACCTGATGACGACCGTTTGTGTTATGGTCGAAACATCGTGAGAATTTTTATTGTTTTATGTATATTTTATTATTTTATTGTTTCCCTTCAACGTGACTTTACCGAAAGAGCTAAGGATATGAATTACTGCAGTCACGAAAGCTTTAAATCAAAATTTAAGTAGAACGTGTTATCTATATTTATTTAAAGTCGCACAATTTGATGTGACGTCACATTTATCAAACCACGCCCCCCCCTCGTCACAAATCGTCACAAATGTCTGACACCCCCCCCCCCCCAGGTGCGTGACGTCATTTATGGACGGCCCCAAATGCGTTGTACAGCAATCATAACATCGTACATGAGATGATAGCGGTTGAATTAAAAAGAATGGGGATATGTATTTAAACGTGGTGGTGTAGTTACGGCTGATGGGAGAACAAGCGGGAGTGGTTAAGCAGGGATTGGGGAAGTGATAGAGGTTGGGGTTTAGGCCTGGTTGTGGCTGGCGGAGGCAATAGCAGTTGAGGTAGCGATGGGGATGGAGGTTGAGGTGATGGTGATGATAGGGGTCGGGGTAATGATAGGGGTTGGGCTAGTCCTGGTTATGGCTGGGGCAGGGGGAGTGATAGGGGTTGAGGTGATGGTGATAGGGGTTGGGGTGGTCATTGGGGGTTTGGGTAGACCTGGTCTTGACAGAGATAGGGAGGAGTCGGGGTAGTTAAAGGGATAGGCGTTGAGGTGTGATAGGTGTTGGGGTAATGATACGTGTTGCGGTAGGCCTTGTCGTGGCTGGGAGGCTGGGGCAGGGAGTATCAGTAGCTGGATTGGCTAGGGTAGAGAAGATGGGGGTTGTCTTGAGAGGGCAACGGACGCAGTTAGGAGTCAACCCGTAACTGCTGTGTCTGCCCCGTGACCTCCTGCTCCCCCTCCTGCCAGCAGCAGCGATAGCCTCCACGTGGCGGGGACCCGGAGGATCTCTCCCTCTTCCATCTTGCCGAGCGTCCACCCACATGGTCTTCCCGGGGCTCACCCCGAACGAAATACGGAGTTGACCAAGCTTGCATACCCGTCAACCCATGCGGTTTACCCCGTATTCTTGTACGGGGAAATTGAGTTTTCAGGTCCGTACGGCGTATAGCCGTTACAATACGGGCAAACATTTATTTTGTCTATTTGTTTGTGTTTTTCCCTTGTAATGGGACTTTGTAGGATGAACGTTGAGATTTATAAGGGGCACGGGGTTATCAATAAGGTCTGAATTGGTCTGTAATAAGGTCGGCACTGATGAGGGGTTGACAGGTGTGTGCTCACCCCGAACAAAATACAGAGTTGACCAAGCTTGGCTGCAAGATCACCTTCCTTGGTTGACACCAAAAAAGGCCGCACCTGGACGTGTCGAGTGTCACTCGTATATGTGAATGGCCTATACAAGCACAGGGACAATTTCAACCGAGAAGATGGATTCTGGCTTAGTAACCATTGGAAAGATGTTTTAAACCATTTCCATTCTTAATTAATTGTATTTTACGTTGACCTTCAGACCGCAGCTCTTTCGCTGGCATTGACTCTTAATCACTCTTAATACCTCTCACATATAACTCCATGTTATACATGGAGTATAACAGCGCCTCGCAGCTGTCTCTCTCCCCCTCCTCTGTTCCGACCATGGATGAACTCGTCCTGTCTGAACGGGACCCGTAGCTATCCGTGTTGCTAAAGTTGAGGGTAAGAATCCACCCATTTTTTCGCCATATAGCATTGTGATATATAACGACTTATTGTTGGTAGCTTAGCTGATTGGAGAATATATAGAGTTTATTGATAACATTGAGGTAATTTATATTTTAGTTTTTATATTGGTTCACTATATAGTATTCATTATATATTGTAGTGTATACCCAGTTACTGTGAATAGCCCAGATGTGTAGGCTTTGACTTCAACACAGCCATTTCTGTGACCAGTCACAAGCTAATCACTCAGTTATTTCAATGCTAAATTCTCCTAGTTATTTCAATGCTAAATTCTCCTGGTTGATTTGTACTAGGTGCCTCTGTGAATGTGTATGCTCTGACTTTAACATAGCTATTTCTGTGACCAGTCACAAGCTAATCACTCAGCTATTTCAATGCTAAATTCAATGCTAATTCCTTTGTCAAGGGGTGCCTCTGCGGATGTGTATGCTTTAACTTTAACATAGCTATTTCTGTGACCAGTCACAAGCTAATCACTCAGCTATTTCAATGCTAAATTCTATGCTAATTCCTTTGTCAAGGCGCTTTGTTTCTTCTCACACAGCTTAAAGGTCGCGATCTGAGCGTGGCTTTTTCGCTCCAGCGCTGTCCTCCAGACAATCTCGTCCCTTCACCTGATGAAGTCCGCTTGTGTTGTGGCCGAAACGTCGTGAGAATTTTATTGTGTTATTTTATTTTATCAATTTATTATTTTATTATCATTCTACCTGACTTTACCGAAAGAACCAAAGAAGATGAATCCTTGCAGTCACGAAAGCTTTAAATCAAAATTCAAGTCGTGAATTATACCGTGGGTGGCAAATATTTCTCGGTGGATAGCAAAGTATTGAGTGATACGTATGAAAATGGTCACGAAATTGTATTTTAATGGATAAATGCATCACCATGAGCGTGCGTTTATCAAATTGGCATGCAGCTTCACCTTTCCCTTGTGTTAAGGAACCCGGGAAAGTTGTGAGTCGCAGCTGTGCCGTCTGAGCGGGTGACCGAGCAGCGCTACCATTGGCAGCAGTAGTGTCCAAAACCACGCGGTAGCCAAAGTCAGTATCAACAATACATTTATAAACATATTGCAAAAGCAACAACACACAATAACGATGTTAAGCACAATACCGTTCGTTAAGATCTATGTTATATGTAAAAGTAATTATTATAAAAAGTAATTATAAGTATAAATAACCCGGGCGCGCAATTAAGTTTATTATTATTATACAATACTTATCACAGTATTACAGGCAAATGTACAATATTCCATATTTATGAGTTTAACAATATATAGGAATAGGTTTTACCCTTTTAACTGGCACAAAAACCAACACCAATGGAGACTAGACTCTAAGAAAAGCCGTCTCGGGTATGGACCAATCAAATTCAAGGACAGTGCATATTATTATCATAGTTGTTTTTTTTTTGCATTTTGACTGCTTGTTTTGTGGTTATTGCAGACATGATGCCTTGAATAAAGGTGTCAGTTTTTGTGCCAGTTAAAAGGGTAAAACCTATTCCTATATCTTGTTACTGGCAAAGGAGGTCTCATAATGAGTTTAACAATGTTTATCTTTTTTTTATTGAACATCATCACATTTTATAACGGGTCTGAGGAATGTATCCCGTTCATAAGTTAAGGACTTCCCCCATATATATAATATAAATATTAATAATTACAAATAATTATGAACTATAAAATGTATAAATAATCCGGGTACAAAATTAGTCCCTCTCCACGGTTCCCCCACAGCAGCAAAGGCGCCGGAGCGCGGTTCCAAAGCGGCGCAGCCACCCCCTCCTGCTGGGGCACGCGCGGCAATGGGACTCTGTGAGCTCCTTCCGCCTCTCCTCGTCGCTCTCCTCCTTCGGCCTCTCCTCGTCGCTCTCCTCCTCCGGCCTCTCCTCCTCCGGCCTCTCCTCGTCGCGCTCCTCCTCCGGCCTCTCCTCGTCGCTCTCCTCGTTGCTCGCCCCCTCCTCCGTCTTCACCGTCGCTGGGGCGTCGTCATCTCCCAGCGAGGCAACCCCATGGCTCCCCGAAGCCTCTCCCTCCGCCTTGATAGAGACGGCCGAACCCGCGGTATCCCGAGGCCGATCTGCTCCGAATTGGCTCTCTCCCACTCCCTCGATATGAGCATCCAATCCCTTGGCATCCAGAGATGGATCGTTGTCCGCGCTGATTTCCTTTGAGGCAATGGACTGGCTCTGATTGCTCTCACTCTCTCCCACTTCCATGGCGTGCAGAGGCTGACCGCTCTTGGTGTAGGTTTTGAGTGAGGCAAGGGAATGACATTCACTTGCTTCCGTTGCATCAATGGAATCGCCCTCGCACACTTCCAATGTATCAATGGATTCGCCCTCGCACACTCCCATTGTATCAATGGATTCGCCCTCGAACACTTCCAATGTATCAATGGAATCGCCCTCGCACACTCTCATTGTATCAATGGAATCGCCCTCGCACACTCCCATTGTATCAATGGAATCGCCCTTGTACACTCCCATTGTATCAATGGAATCGCCCTCGCACACTTCCAATGTATCAATGGATTCGCCCTCGCACACTCCCATTGTATCAATGGATTCGCCCTCGAACACTTCCAATGTATCAATGGAATCTCCCTCGCACACTCTCATTGTATCAATGGAATCGCCCTCGCACACTCCCATTGTATCAATGGAATCGCCCTTGTACACTCCCATTGTATCAATGGAATCGCCCTCGCACACTCCCATTGTATTAACGGATTCGCCCTTGTACACTCCCATTGTATCAATGGATTCTCCCTTGTACACTCCCATTGTATCAATGGATTCACCCTTGTACACTCCCATTGTATTAACGGATTCGCCCTTGTACACTCCCAATGTATCAATGGATTCGCCCTTGTACACTCCCATTGTATCAATGGATTCGTCCTTGTACACTCCCAATGTATCAATGGATTCGCCCTTGTACATTCCCATTGTATCAATGGATTCGCCCTTGTACACTCCCAATGTATCAATGGAATCGTCCTCGCACACTCCCATTGTATCAATGGAAGCGCCCGCGCACACTTCCATTGTATCAATGGAATCGCCCTCGCACTCTCCCATTGTATCAATGGATTCATCCTTGTACACTCCCATTGTATCAATGGATTCGCCCTTGTACACTTCCATTGTATCAACGGAATCGTCCTCGCACACTTCCATTGTATCAATGGAATCGCCCTCGGACACTTCCATTGTATCAAAGGAATCGCCCTCGCACACTTCCATTGTATCAATGGAATCGTCCTCGGACACTTGCATTGTATCAAAGGAATCGCCCTCGCACACTTCCATTGAATCAAAGGAATCGCCCTCGCACACTTCCATTGTATCAACGGAATCGCTCTCGTCCACTTCCATTGCCTCAATGGAATCGCTCTCGTCCACTTCCATTGCCTCGATGGAATCGCCCTCGCACACCATTTCCATTGCCTTGATGGAATCGCCGTCCCTCATTTCCATTGCCTTTGTGCTCTCAATGTTGCTGCTGCTGCTGCCGCTGCTCATGGTGCAATGAATTGAACAGGCACCACTGCAGCTCGTGAGGGAACCAAACATGGAAGATGAAAGGTGACCACAGTCAGGGTCGGCGTTGAACACTAGTGCCACATGATGCTCGGGTGCCGGCGCTGGGGTGGTGTTCATCCACGAGTGCTTGAGAGCACTCGCCGGCGTGCAGCGCGTGTCTGGGTTCCAGCTGCGGACAGAGAGACGAGTTGCCGTGAGACAGAGAGACAAGTAGCCATGAGGACATTCGGCATGAGGGGCGATTTCATCTTTGGCCTCGTTCGTGCGCAAAAAATGCGGTGCAGGTCTCCAATGGCATATCCGAGGCAAAAGACAATGATTTCATGTAATGACGGGATATGGGGTCGAACTAATATTAACTACAATGAAGATATAGAAGGCACAGAGAGGTCCTCCTGCAATTGTCCGTAGATCTGTGGGTCACGTTTTATCTGCCCAATGCATGGTGCCCTTACGTTTATAATAGCTCACGCTGCTTGAGGCAAGTGATGGGACCATGGCAAAGACGTGTACTGCTGGAAGGGCACATATTGAAACTGACTTGGGTTTGCTGAAGAAGTTGGCAGAAACTCAGCTGATGCGACACTTACCAAAGAATGGAGTTGATGAAGTCCAAGAACCCCAAGTCCCTGGACCCCAGAAACTGGTTGAGTGGGCAACGGTGAGTCTTGTGCTTGCGACATGCCCAGTTGAGCCTCCCACATACGTCTGTACCAGGGACAACCAAAACACGACGTGAGTGATTCAGATTATTATTATCGTTTAAAGCTGAAGCGTGTGTTGGAAAATCAATGTCTTTCACTTCGCTGTACAGTCGGCTGAGGGGTGTCACACTGCGACATCACAACTTTACGAATCACCGCGTGCAGATTGCTCACCGAAATACTCGTAACATTTTGGCGAAGCGGTGAGCATCTCGCGCGGAGGTTTGCCCAGAATCTGAAAGCAGATGGAACATTTGTTGTTATGCTACTGGAGGGGTTAAGAAGATACTTCTTCATGTATTGGCTTGATGAGTACATCCTATTGATTAATTCATTAACTATTGAGGAATAAATTGAAGGCGTATAGAGTCGAGCTGTCTATAATGTCACGTGAGCTAAAAGTGGATTCCTGCTCAAATGAACATTGAGGAAGTGCTCATCTCCCGTTTGTAGTCGCCCTGAAACAGCAGTAGAAAAACAATCCACATTCCTGTGACAGGGATAGGTCCAGCCATATGACAACCACTGTTCACTTCCCAACATAGTGGTACCTAACACGTAGGCTTTCGCGATCAATATTATTCATAATAAATGTTTTTGGGTGAGATCGCGTTATTAATGAATTTGTCGTAACCCTCCACCACCCGACATGGCCAATCAGTAAAAAAAGTGTCACGTTGACAAAAGACAAGTAGTTCACTACCTTAGCCCACCGGTGTGTTGAAGAGTGAATCCACAACATTTACCATTTTTGAGTACGACGTTTTGCTGGTAATTACATCCAGCATCATCGGGCAATTTGGCAATTAAAAAAAATCTTTATTATGAATAGTTGTACTTATCTTATCAACCTGACAGGGATGGTGAGGCGATTCAACCCTCAACCAGGATCTTAACTAATCTCACGTTTACAGCCCTGAGACAGTGGTAAAAAGAGATATCTACATTGCTGTGGCAGGGGTGGGTCCATCCATATGACAACCACTGTTGACTTCCCCCACGTAGTACTAATTTTATCAAGCCCAGAGGGATGATGGGCATGGTAACTCTAAACCTTATATTGCCGGCCGGTCACTCTACCGCTGAGCCACCAACGCGAGCTCCAACTGCAACAACAACCCGTCAAAGGCACGGTGCCAATATCCACACACACGGCAGCTACACTGAGCGACTTCGTAGGCCGACGTCACGTTACCTCCGTGATGCCCACGATCTCGTGCAAGTCGCTGTAGCATGGCAGCAGCTGTTGCCCAGTGGACAGCTCTGCGAAGATGCAGCCGGCAGACCACATGTCGAGCGGCGTGCCAACCCGTAGGTTCAGCAGAACCTCGGGGGCCCGGTACCCTTGGGTAGAAAAGAGGTGGTCGACTGCAGAGGAATGAGAAGGAAGGAGTCAATCATTCACCCTTTTACAGCTGTACATCACCCCCTGCAGTCAGCCACTTTTTAAATGCATTAATTCAGCCAACTGGGATCAGGTTGAACATTTTCAAAATGCTACGGAGCCGTGAACCCTGGTTCCTCAAAGTGCACTGTTTGTCTTCATCCAGATGTTGTTGCCACCACGAAATGGCAGCAGACACAGCGTGTGTGTGTGGTCCCGCAATCAAAAGCTACTTTGGGTCGCATGAAATATTCAGGCAAGCCATGCGAGGGCATTGCCGGGTCAAGGTAGACGAGACCCCCGCTACCGCTAAATGGCTAACATTTATTTTTAACCTGAGACACATTTCAGATAACACGTTCTGTCGGAAGATATAAAAGAACGTTAGTACACTTTGTATCAAGATACGTGAATTGTATATTACCCAGCTCATTCTCGAAGAAACTCAATCCGAAGTCAGCCAGCTTGATTGTCCCCATCTCGTGGTCTTTGACGAGGATGTTAGCCTAAAATAAAACATGAAAACAGCTGCACATTACATTCTGTATTTAACCAGATGAGAGCCCATTGAGATGATCACTGTCTGTGTGGAACTAAGGCTGAAAGTGTCCACACATTAGCTCTGTCCACGTGGCTGTAAATGGAAGGGGGCGTGATAACTCTCGTGAGGATGATCCAACACGAACAGAATTTTAACATGAGGTTATCCATGACAAAATTCGATAACTGTAAGACACTTCGCGTGAATATTGTAATGCTGTAAAACTTTACGGACAATAGGAAAAAGTGGGTTGGATACAATCGTTTGTTGTATGTCATACAGCTCCCAGGGATCATTGGAGCCACATGAATTAGGATTGTGGATAAGAGAAGCTCAACTGTGGTAGGTGGCTGTGACCAGAACTAAACTGGCTACCACGTGGCACTGGGGGGCCAGAGGTGCATAAGGGCATAGACTGCCTTAAAAATTGAAGGCACAGCCCTGCAATTGCTTGGTAGGGCAATTGCTGGCAGAAGAGCCTCGACTGAACGTGGCTCTGGACAGCCCCTCTAGTGGGTGTTTGGCCAACGCTGCCATGCTGACTTGAAAAAGTGAGAGTACCCACATTTTACTCCACACATTCGACAGTGATGGACTCATTCGCATTGCACGGTGCACATAGGAGGGAGGGGGATGAGGGGGGGAAATTAGAAAACTTCCAACTGCCGCACCATGAGAGATCGAATCGAACCAGTGACCTCTTGTTTTACAACCTCTGTGCTCTGATCATTCCACCGCGGCAGCGTCCCTCACTCGGACCTGCCGAGCACAATTCTCAACACTCACCGCCTTGATGTCTGCATGCACCACGCCTTTCTTCTTTAGGAACTTCAGACCTTTCAACACGGACCGGGCGTAGCGCCGGACATTGGCCAGAGGCAAGGCTCCTTTCTTAAACACCTCCCAAATGCTTCCCTTGCTAAAAACAGCACACACAGCACAGAGTGCCATGTAGTCGCATACACAGCCTCGCTTGCAAAGTCGCTGGCACATCGCGTACACGCACGACGAGGAGTGAAACTCCATGAGGGGGAGGAAAGGCATTGGAGCTGTAGTGATGCCATGCGCACTCGGTGATGGTTTAAATGGCTTAACGATACAGGGCAATGACCACAACGTGCTGCGCAGCAGGAGGATTGGCCCTTCCACGGCTGTGCGCTTTTTTTTCCATCTACGTAACCCTGCAGGCAGCCATATTTTAAAGTAAATTTTGCCAACTTGGTCGGGTTAGTTTTTGGTGACAATATTCAGAACATTACTGAAGTCCATGACCCTGGTCACAGTGTGCTTTATTGTCTTTACAAGTTGTTGCCACGAGACGGCAGCAGCCATGTCGCGTGTGTGATCCCGCATACAGAACCTACATTCCGTCGCGCGAAATATCGAGACTCTACCACAAGAGGGCATTGCCGGGTCCTCAGAATAGACAGGACCGGCTGTGAAAGGATCAGCGAGACTGGACTGTCACCACGTGCTTAGTAACCCATAGATGAATGCCAACTCTGAGATCACAACAAAGCAACGCCACGTGGCTTTGTCGATGATCGAGCATGAGGCTCAAGCAGGTGTCAAGCTAGTATTCGTACACAGCCTGTCAACGCGACGGTGTCGGTGGACTCAGTGTTATCCTTACCTCATGTACTCAAGGACCAAGAAATGTTCGAATTCGATGACAAATTCTTCCTCGAACCGGATGATGCTGCTGTTCTTCAGCTGCTTCAGGAAGACGGCCTCACGGTACTTGTTCTGCTTTGTCAAACTGCGCAAAGACATAAACACGAGTAAAAATAAAAACGTCGTCTACGGTGTTATCAGTTAAACCAAATGCTTATCGTGTGCCTTCCTAGTGGAGGCACGCGTGTTAGTGTTGCGGCGACACACAAGAGTTTCTGAATGCAAGTCGTCGCACGGATCGCCACTCGGTCTCACCAAACAGTGTTGTCGGACACCTTCAGTGCAACCTCCTTCATTTCCTTGAGGTCGAAACACCTGAACACTTGGCCATAGGATCCCTCACCCAACATGTTCAAGACCTCGTAGCGATTCTTGATGATCTCGGGCGCCATCTGGTCACGGGAGAGGGGTGCAGAAGAGCATGCAATCAGCGAGTGCAGGTAGCGGTCCGGATGGTTGCCAGTTGACTCTCGTTCCACAGAGTGCTATGGAGAGACTGCAAGGTCCCTATGAAAGCAACGTGGAATTTATGCAACTTTCTTCAATGCCACATGGAGGTTTGTGAGCATTTGTGTGGAGCAAAGAAACACTGATGACATCAATTAACCAGCGCTCAACCAAGTGCTCTCCCCACCTCAACTGACCTGCCAAGGGATCATGGCAGATGGTCAGGAATGATGACGGAGCAGCAATTAATTAAGAAAACGCTTCCAAGAGGGCGTCTACCGGGGGAGATGGAGCGTTGCATCAGATGGCGTGCAGACGTGAGGTGGATTTTATTGCATGTCTGGAATGTGAGAGATGGTGGAGGATTCTGGGGGGCTTAATCCAGCTGCGGATCGATCATGGCTGATCATGGTGATGTTTTTATTAGAACAAGGTGAAGGTGCTGCCTTGCAATTTGTTGCTCATGCCACTGCTGGTGCAAAGACCTGGACCAGAGTGAGCTCTGGAGAGCATCTCCTCTGTAATTTCACTCTGGTTCTCTCATTTTTATCTATTCTGGCCTCTCCCTTCATGTCTGTCTCTTGTCTATCTCCTGCCTCTCATCTCCCGATGTATCTATCTTTCATCTCTTTTTATCTCAATAGATCTCTAAATCGTATCTGTCTCTTATCGAACCACCCTGCGTCTCTATTTTCATCTCCTTTCTGTCATACCACTGTATATCTTTCTCTTGTCTGTACCTCTTATCTACTCATGTCTCTCTAATTGCATATCTTTTCATCACAATAGATCTCTGTCGCGTGTCTATATCTCAGCTAATCTCTGTGCGCCTCTGCATCTCACCAGATGTCTATCTCTTTTGTATCCCTTAGCTCATTTCCGTAAGTCTTTTTCTCTTGTTTGCATCACCT